TCGATCCTGGAAAATCTTGGCGATCCGTCGCTACAATATGAGAACGTGTGAACCACAAGACAAAGTCCAGAAAAAGACGTCCTCAGAAGGGAATCTTGCAATGACCGAGGACGGTCAGTATTATAGGCCGGGGACGTTGATACGGATGAAACCATTTCACCTGTATAAAATTCGATTTCAACGATTTTACCGATAAAGGTCGTCTCTAATAAATACACTACATACAATTGCAATGATACAAAGAGCCAATGCGCATACCCGGCGCAGTTGACTAAAAATGCAAATGCGTGGAATCTGAAAATAGGACAAAGGCTTTGGAACTGGCAGCAGTACGCGTCGTGACATTATACTTGGATCCCATCTAAGATTCACCTACCATGAAATAGAGCACGGAGAGGTTCTAGAGTAAACACCCAACGCAGGGAGAAGAATTGCATTACTACTCAAGGGTTTAGAAACACATAATGGATTTATTGTGAAAACTCGTGCTTATACAAGAAATACAGAAAAGACAACATAGACGCCTAAACGGCATGTCTGAAACATGGAAAGACTAAACTACACCTAGGTAGTAAATGTATGAAGACTTAGCGTGGCTCACGGCCATTCAGAAAGTCATGTACGGCAGTTCCCGCGTACGCATCAAAGACTGATGCGTCTGAACGTCACAAGTACAAACATGAGAAAAAGACACATTCTATTATATGAAATATAATAAGAACCCCCTGACAATTAAGAAAGACATTTGAAAACACCTTCGGAGTGTCTCCCGACCTCCGTAATGAAAAGACGAGCCAAGACAAGGCATTTTAATTAAAAACTCGGAAGCGACGGAAGGCCGAAGACTATTGGTAAACGCGTACGCATGCGCATCAACGCATCAGGAAACGTTAATCATTTTGTGATGTCATCTGTCAAACCGGTAAACTGGGCCATAGAAAGAAACACGCGAGATCATGCCAAGCTAAGAATAGCTACGTCGGCTAACTCCGCGTACGCATCAAACACTGATGCGTTTGAAAATGAAAGACGCGACACTACAAAATCTGTAGTGTTCACAGAGATAGACTACAAAATATACCACACGTTCATTAAATTTCATATTTGTAATTCGGACCGAAGTATCCCGCATTAAAACACATGTAAAACGTAGATAGGGGTTCCTGGAGTATATAAGGAGCGTGCTGGCAGGTCAAAAGGGAAGCAATCGTCCCCCGTTGACCAGCTAGTTGCACTCCAAGTAGAGACTTAGGAGGTGGACAGTTGTAATCAATTAAAGGAGATTTCTTCGTGGTCAGATAAGTACAGTGTGAACGAAGCCAGCGTGCTTGGGAGTCAACTTGCTTGGAGACTTTTGAATAAGAGGTTTTAAGGACACAGTATCATTTTAGACGAGACAGCGTACTCGTACCCTTGGTTTTGGAGCGTAGTGACATAATAAAAACTCACGGGAGTCATAAAAGTCAATTAAAGTCGTGTTTTGTGTTAATAAAAGAAACTGTGATCAAAGAACTTTGCATTTAAGAGACCAAGTTCCCAGAAAGATATACTTTGTTCTATTGAACTATTCTAAACCACACCTTATAATAAAAACCCAATTTTGAACGAAAACTCTTGAGACTTGAACCTAAGAAGACAAAAGTGGTATTTCTTAATACCAAAGGCCCTCGAACTCTTGCACCGAGATTGTGATAGTGTGTGTGTGTGTGTGTGAGTGAGTGTTAGGTGTTTAGGGTTTTCCCCCGACGCGCTTGATCCTTGTTTGCGTGTTTCGCACTTTCACGTTCATCCCCGTGCAAAGCGTATCATCTGGAGCCCACCGCGAGGGTCTCCTTTTGTTTTTGATAAAGCAAAAACTTGAAAGTTTAGTGATCTACTGGATCATTCTATTTGAACGAAAGTTTGAATTAAAAACCGCTAGCGTCTGAAGCAATTTAAATACTAGTGCAGAGCCGTTCACCACGGCACCAAAAATCAGACAAACAGCGAATTCTATTAGAGCAGGGGAATCGTCAGGTTTACCACCTCCATCTAAACGAAAAGCTAAGCAACCTGCAACAGCAGTAGAGCAAAGGTTTCCGTTAAGAACAGAGACAGTATCCCAACCACCTCCTCGCGTGACTCGTAGAAAAACTGTTAGGGCATCTGATAATATAAACCCGAACTCGTTAGCCCAAAGAAATATTACAAACATGCCAGATAATACCCAAGATGAAGCTCCTGCCACTGGAGGCAGAAGATCGTCTAGACCGATGCCATTGCCAGGCTCTCGAGGAGCCCCTAACTTTGACAAGGAAAAACCCATTGAAATGTTGAGATTCATTGACCAAATGGAGGACTTGTTCAAAGAGCATGTATCGATGATGATCAAGAAAAGAA